CTCTCAGAGCTTAATCTAATCAGACAAAACCAGTAAATACAGAAAACAGCCATAACAAAATGCAGAGATAAATGACACCGAAAGTGCACATAAAAAGACAAAGGGCAATTGTGTGTTTAAATGAGAGTAAGGATCTGTGTTTCTTGAGCTAAGTATTTGTAAAAGAGAGGACACTGGGTTGGCTATCAGGTTAAATCGCTTAAAACACAAACTCCGGAGGAGAGCCAAAGTCTCTATAATAAGGCAAGTGTCTTGCATAGTTGACCCGAATAACGAGGCAAAGAATCATGCTTGCTGTAGACAGCGGTCTAAGCCCTTCTCTAGAGATGGGTCTGACCGTCTCTAAACAAACCAACACACACTTGGCTTCCCAACTCTCAGGAAACACTTCCAAGAATGAAATCAGTATACTCAACCTCAGCCATTTGTCTGGTCTCATTCTGCAAAGCTTATGTTGCTGTCTGCTGAGAGTAGTCATCGCCCTCAATGACCTTGAAACCCTCCTCTTCAAACTGTTCCTGCCCTTGCAGCTAGAGTCCCCTGCCAGAGCCACCTCCCTGACACCCAGCCTTCCCCTGGTGGCAGGAGCAGCCCTCAGCCTGCCAGGGCAAGGCGCCCCTTGCAGATCCACTGATTGACAAGTGCCCCAAAGGGAGAAAGTTCCGCTCTAGGGGCTGCCAAAGCCAAAGGCAGCATTACCTTAGACGTAACCCACTTTCAAAGACAGTTTATGGTTCTCAGGAACCCAAGGACACCAACTGGTCTTTTGTTTGCATTAAAGAATAAACTCCGGGGCTAGGGGAAGAACTAAGAAATGTAACCCCTGATCTCCAAGATACTAAGTGGCCGAGGGAGCCTTCACACATCACCATCCTGTGCATTGACCCGCACGGGACAATGTATGGGTCCAGGATGAGTGCTGTGGGGACTTAAGAGACGCTTCCTAACAAAGTGACATCTGAGGAGGGAGAACAATCCAGCAATTGTTGAGTCCGATTTTCTGTTCCCTATCTTCCATGGCAAATCAGAAACCAACAAAAAGAGGGAAGAAAAGCCCCCACCGATTAGGATGGACACATCCTCAACTGCAGTCCCTGTCAGGGGCAACAGAGCTTCTTATACTTGGCATTTTCACAAAAATGCTAACAGTCTCTCACACGCATATCCGTTTACAGGTCCTGAAGGCACCCACCCCCTGAAGGCACCCACCCCCTGAAGGCACACACCCCCTGAAGGCACCCACCCCCTGAAGGCACCCACTCCCTAAAGGCACCCATTCCCTGAAGGCACCCAGCCCCTAAAGGCACCCACCCCCTGAAGGCACCCAGCCCCTGAAGGAACAGCTGCTCCCAGGCCTCTATCAGGGCATCGCCCATGGTCACCAGGGGTAGGGTCCACACTGGTCATCCCCCACGACCCCACAGCAGGCACCCAGCCCCCCTGAAGGCACCCACCCCCTGAAGGCACCCAGCCCCTGAAGGAACAGCTGCTCCCAGGCCTCTATCAGGGCATCGCCCATGGTCACCAGGGGTAGGGTCCACACTGGTCATCCCCCACGACCCCACAGCCACATCTCTATAGACTGGAATGAGGTTCGCAGGTTCGCCTAGGACTGAAGGAAGGGCCTAAAGCAGGTTTCCCAACACCAGTGCTGCTGACATTTGGGGTCAATTGATTCTTCATTGTGGGAGGCTGTCCTGTGACATGCAGGAAGGTTAGCAGCCTCCCTGGCTTCTGTTCACCTGATAACCCTGCCCCTAACTCGACAAGCAAAACTATCTGCAAATATTGCCAAGTAACCTCCAGGGGGGTGGCAAAATGACCCCACTGAGAGCCACTCTTTCTTTAGACCAGGGGCTGTTTCAGGCCCACTGAGCTCCACCCAGAAGCAGTTTCATTTATTCAGTTTTTTCAGTTTTCAATCAAGCTTTTTAATGAAAATAAAATAGCAGTTTCTCATCACTGTACATTCAAACTACACACTTCTGAATGGAGAGATCAGCCTTTAGTGAATTGATTTTCTAGGACAGTTACAGCTCTGAACTGAATTTATCCAAACTCTAAAGGGGAGTGAACTCAAGGTAACGACTGAGAGCAATGGGGGCCAGGAGAGGAGTGCAATCTTAAGGCCATTATAAATCATTAACTACCAAGGACCAGACGCCAGAAGCCAGCATGGCAGAAACCACCCTATCATCTCTCCAAACCTTCTCCTCCTCCACCCCCATCTTGAAAGTTTCTGCCAACACTAGGTAGAAAACTGACCTTCTAAACAATCCCATCCCCTACATCCAAGAGGTGCCATCAATGTCTGATCTACCCCTTCTCTGAATCCCTAGGCTGATGTGGAAAGGAGGAAACTATGTATATTCAAGGAGCCAGATCATCATGATTTCTAAAAACCCCTTGAAAAACCTACTTCCTCCTTTTCTCTTCTTTGCTTGCCTCTTTGTAACTTTATTAAATGGTAGAGCCAGGATTCAAAACAGAAGTTATTACAGGGCACATAATTATTACACTGTCTCTCAAATGAGAGATGGAGAACAAGCCTACAGAGGAAACAGAAGAAGAGTGACATGCTAACAGGAAGCACCACACGGGCTGGGGGAACCCAAGCAGAAAGTATCAAATGCTAGAGAGAGGACCAAAGAAGCTGTCACTGATCACTCGTGACAGCATTTTCACTTACAGTGATTTATTGGGAAAAGAAAAAACAGAAGACACAGGACAATTTCATCCATCCCTAAATTTAGGTGGGGGTGTGTGGAATATGGATAAATCATTTTAAATACCATTTAAACCAATAGCATTTATTAAACCAATGGAAAATAGAGGTACAAGGTGGGACCTGTGTGAAAGCTACGGTGATACTATATACCAAGAACACAAATAAAAGCACACCCATTCCAGTCTCTCTAAATGTGGGCCTCTTGCCAGAGATAAATCAATATGTATATTATATATGTGAGATATATGAAAAACATATAGACATATTATACAATGTGTTTTATACACATTTATACTAAAAAAGGAGCCAACACTGGAATATTATTCAGCCATAAACAGAAATGAGCTGGGCCAGTGTGTTCAGTGGTTGAGCGTCGACCCATAAACCAAGAGGTCATTGGTTCTATTCCAGGTCAGGACACATACCCAGGTTTCGAGCTAGGTCCCTACTAAGGGGCCTGTAGGAGGCAGCTGATCAATGATGTTTCTCTCTCATGGATGTTTCTCTCTCTCTCTCCCCCTCCCTTCCTCTCTCTCTAAAGAAAATCAATTAAAACTTAAAAAAAAAAAAGGAATGAAATACTACAAGCTACCAAGTGAATGAAACTTGAAAACATACTAAGTGAAAAGTCAGACACTAAAGGTCATATATTACATGATTCCATTTGTATGAAACTAGAGGCCCAGTGCACGAATCCGTGCATGGGTGGGGCCCCTTGGCCTGGCCAGCCATCTGGAGGATCGGGGCCATCTCACCCAGTCCCGATAGGGGTCAGCCGGCCAGGGGGAGGGACCTTGGGAGGTTGGCCGGCCGCAGGAGGTTGGCTGTGGGAGTGTACTGACCACCAGGAGGCAACTCCTGCGTTGAGCGTCTGCTCCCTGGTGGTCAGTGCACGTCATAGTGACCGGTCGTTCGGTCAACCAGTCATAACAGTCGTCGCTTAGGCTTTTATATGTATTGATATTCAGAATGGGTAAATCTATAGAGACTTACCTATTCTGGCAGTTGCTGGGGATGGGGAATGACTCTTTAATGGGTTCGGGGTTTTATTTGGAGGTTAAATTAGGTCATAAAGATGGAGCCCTGACCCAATAGTATTAGGATCCTTATGAGAAGAGACGCCAGAGACCACACTCACACAGCACACTCTCTCTCCCTTCCATGCTGAGGTCACAACCACAAGGCAGCTCTCTGTAGGAAAAGAGCCCTCGCCAGAAACTGAATCGGCCAGCACCCTAATCTTGGACTTTCAGCCTCCAGAACTGTGGAAAGGAAGCATCTGTTGTTTAAGCCACCAGTCTGTAGTATTTGGTGTGGTGACTCAAGCTGACTAAGACAGGACAGTTATGATCAAACCCATTTTACAAACAGGAGCATGAGGCACTGAACGGTGACTCGCTTGCCCAAAGTCATACACTGAGCAGCAGGAGGACAGCTTTCAAACCCGGGCAGTGTGCCTCCACAACCTTCCCCTCTAAACTACACTCTACGGGGGGGTCCTCAGCCACTGTGAGTGAATGCTAAGTGAGAAAGGGGGTGGGACAGAATCTTAGTATGGCATTCAACTCGCCAAACCTCACAGCTCTGCAAAAAGAGCAGAGTAAACTTTTAACCTTTTTCCCCTTTCAAAGACAAAATTATCCAGCTTCTATCCCAAGTAAAAATGTAAGGAATGGGCCAAAAAGACTGAATAACATGGGGATCCATTCTGAAAGTGCAGAAATTTAACCTAGATATCACCCTCTCAAAACAGTTTCACAATATAATAACTATTTTTTGGAAGCAAGCTAAAACTAACCCAAAGGAAAATACAAGCCATCCCATTCCTTTTCTCTGCTCCAAAGTTAAGAAGCATCACTTCTTCACTCTTTATTTATTTATTGTCTAAAGTTTTACATATGTCTCCTTTTCCCCCGATTGACACCCCCCCCCACCAGCCATTCCCACCCGGGGCAAGCCCCCACTGCCCCAGTGTCTGTGCTATGGATTGTGCTAATATACATGCATACAAGTCCTTTGGTTGCTCTCTAACCACCACCACCCGCCACCTCCCCTGCCATTTGTCTCTGGATCTATTTTTGTTCATCAAATTATGTTGATCATTATATCCCACATATGAGTGAGATCATGTGACATTTATCTTTCTCAGACTGGCTTATTTCACTTAGCATAATGCTCTCCAGTTCCATCCATGCTGTTGCAAATGGTAACTTCTTCACTCTTTAGAGAGTACAAGCCCCAGTCACGTTTTGTGTGGCCCACGCAGTAAAACCCAGAATGTCTGGCCCTGGCGGATAGTTCAGTTGGTTGGAGCACCATCCCGATGTGCCAAGGTTGCGGTGTCAGTCCTGGTGAGTGCACATACAAGAATCAACCGATGAATGTGTAAACCAGTGGAACAACAAATCAATGTTTCTCTCTCTCTCCTTCTCCCTTTCTCTCTCTCTCTCAAATCAATAATTTTTTTTAAAAGAGTATACTTTAAAACAGTGTTTTGCATTACTTTGAGATAATTCTAAGACAACTACATATCTGGCCTCATCTACGTTAAGGCCTGGAACACTGAGTCTTAATTTTCCCAGATCTGTGAGCTTGTCCACCACAGTCCCCACCAGGCCCTATCGCCCACAAGCTGGCTCATTTCACTCATTTTCCTTACCTGCTGGGCCCTGTGGTCCAGTATTTGCAACTCTTTTACATATTGCCTCATGGATTCTGGGTCTCAATATAGGTTTTTAAAAAAATAGTATTTTGTACATAGTGCCTCCATTCAGCATAAGCTTTTGAAGGGAAGTGTTTCAATTTTTAATGGGCTTGTCGAGCAACGCTCTTAATTAAACTTGGCTCAAATCAAAAAGAAAATGAGTATGTTCTTAAGCCAGTCTTGGACATAATATATTGAATCAAATCTTAATTCTGACCAAATGGCAGAATAAAGCCCTTTTTAAAAGCATGAATTTTAGCCATTCAAGTGAGTAAGTATTCTATTTATAGCTGCCAGGGGTTAAGGCTTCCAACAGCTTTCACCCGCCCCCTTCCCTACCACTAATGCCAGTGCACACACCCATGCATGCATGAGCATGCACACACACACACACACACACACACACACACACACGAACACACACACACCATGTCCCCACCTCGATATTGAATTTCAGCCTCCAGCAAGTCAGACTTTTTCCATTAGTTTGGTTTGGGATCATTTCTGAGCTAAAGGCATGCTTCCTGGCTGGCTGCCAACTGAACGCCAGAATGCAAGGAAATTCTGTGTATTCCTCAAAAACAACAACAAAGAAAACCTGATTCTATCTTCCCTTTAGTGTTTGTCAAGTTCACCAAAAAGGATCCTCCATTTCTCACAGCGCTTCCATTCTTTTGTGATTGCTATCCTAACACAAATACCAAAACTTGCTTGCTTTCCCCAGATATAAAACAAACGACTTTCATATTCAGAATTGAAAGGTGCTAAAAACTCACCAAACAGAAAAGGTACAAGCAGCTCTCAATGTTTTCTTAAAACTCTTGCCAAGTACTTTTAAAAATCCAAACCTTGGGTGATATCATCAATTCTTCTCTGACTAGCAATAGCGCAGGGAGTGGGATACATGGTAGTTTTGCCAGGAAATCCAGGCCACTGTTCATAAATTGTGGGTGAACATTTCACACTATGCTGTCCTGCTTCTCCTCGCCTGGCCACCTGACACTCAAGACGGAACAATTAATTTTAAGTTCTGCCCGGGGAGAATCTCCTCCTTCCCCGGCCTGTCTGGGAGAAATTGCACCTGCAGGGTGGAGACTCCCGCTAAGAACTGTCATCACTGAGACCCCAGGATGGCAACAAGTCAGAGGCGTGGGGGGGAGGTGTGGGGGGGGAGGTAGGGAGGGGGCGCGTCTACCCAGAAGCATGATCACCCTGGGCAGTGGCCTAAGCAGGGGCCACTCTGTGTGATTGGGGTGGGCGTGGCCAGGGGACCACCAGATCTGGAGTCAGAACAAAAGCGACCAGTTAGAACCATGATACATCCATGGGTATTAAAGTTCAAAAACAAGGACAGCAACAATGGAGCTCTAAATACAACAGGCAAAGCCAAGCCTATACCTACTTGGGGTGCACGGGGCAGGGGGTGTTGAGGATGCTGCTGAGGAGGCACCAGCAGAAGGAAGAACCTCCGTCATGGGGGTACTCTGTACCTCAATGTTGAATGTTTTCTATCATTTCAGTGAGGCAAAAAATAAGATACAACACCCATCTACAGCCTGAGCTCCGCACTGGAAGCAGGCACCTGGGGCCATGGACTTGGGCAATAGGAATGTCCGGCAGAGCAACATCTGTCTGATTCCAATATTAGAGCAGCCAGACATAGAGAACTCACCCCTGGGGTCTACTCTGCTGATCCCACCTGCTGGCCACACAGTCACTCTATGTGATTCTGACCTGTGACACCTTCCAAGGAACTTCATGAGCTTCTGCTGAAACACCCTACGAAGCCCGCAGGACCCATTTGTAAAAGAACCAAATGATGGTATCCGTCATAAGTCTAGGCCAGTGGTCGGCAAACTCATTAGTCAACAGAGCCAAATATCAACAGTACAACGATTGAAATTTCTTTTGAGAACCAAATTTTTTAAACTTAAACTATATAGGTAGGTACATTGTTCTTAACTTAATTAGCGTACTCCTAAGTCTTAGGAAGAGCCACACTCAAGGGGCCAAAGAGCCGCATGTGGCTCGCGAGCCGCGGTTTGCCGACCACAGGTCTAGGCTATCAGAGAGCAGCCAGCAAAAGAACTAATCACTATGTCTCATCACATCTCAGGAGCAGGGGTGTCCGAGGAAGCCTAAGTGGCCCATCTATGTCACTGTTAATTCTGTAGACCTGTTACTTTTGCTGAAGCCACTATTTTTGTTTTGTCCACTTGCAATGTTGAGTTTCTAGCCCCAGATATGTCCTATATTTGAGGGAGCCCTAGACAAAACACACCCTCAATCTGGGTACACAAGCCATGAAAATAACCTTGAAACATGATCGCTGCCCAGTGTGGGATCATACAGAAGAAAAGTCCAAACATTTGATAAATCCACAGAAAATCTTGCAGACTGGCAATGCACCTGGCCGGGAGACTCTGATAAGCTCTCAAAACATCAACTCAGAAGGAAAAAATGAACACAGGCTCCAAAGTCACACAAAAAACTTGGAATTCCATCTCCCAACTGTGACTTAACTAGTTACTTAGTCTCTCAAAGCCACAACTGATCAACTCTATCTGAGATTAACAATAGTTGCTAACATGCAGAGGATTTAATTGCATGATGTATACAAAGGGTTTAGCACAGTAAATGCTACCAGGTAAAGGTCTCATAAATATATTATTGTTAGTTTTAGAAGTTTACAGCATCTGGATAAACCTTAGAGATGTTTCAGGTTCATGGGTTAATCAACAGTACTTCCTCCGAGTCCTCTGGTGCCCCCTCCATGACATCATGGTCTCAGTAAGGCAGGGGTGGGAATCCACTAAGCCAAGATGTCAATTTTAGCATAGCCTTAGTCTCACACATGCCGGGTCCCTTCGCACAACTGAATCATGCTGAATTCCACCAACAGCAGTCTTTTAACAAGCAGTGATCTCTAAAGCAAAGGAGCCGTTCACCATACTCAGGTTGCTTATTAATCTGAATTAACTGAGTGGGAGAATAAGTACTTGGTGCTGGTCCCTTACAAGATGAATGGCTTGGTCAGAGTGTTATTTGGTGACAGTGTCATCGCCGAAGCCTCATTGCTTCCCTTCGCACAACTGAATCATGCTGAATTCCACCAACAGCAGTCTTTTAACAAGCAGTGATCTCTAAAGCAAAGGAACCGTTCACCATACTCAGGTTGCTTATTAATCTGAATTAACTGAGTGGGAGAATAAGTACTTGGTGCTGGTCCTTTACAAGCTGAATGGCTTGGTTAGAGTGTTCATTGGTGACAGTGTCATCGCCTCATTGCCGACCTATCAAGCCCAGACTTCCATCATGAACCATCTCCACAGACCTTCCTTCCATGTCAGGGTCAGCTAATGCCCAACAAATTATCCACTTAAATTAACTGTGTCAACAGATAGTGGCACAGACTCTTATTCTAACACAGTGGTTCTCAACCTTCTGGCCCTTTAAATACAGTTCCTCATGTTGTGACCCAACCATAAAATTATTTTCGTTGCTACTTCATAACTGTAATGTTGCTACTGTTATGAATCGTAATGTAAATATCTGATATGCAGGATGGTCTTAGGCGACCCCTGTGAAAGGGTCGTTCGACCGCTAAAGGGGTCGCGACCCACAGGTTGAGAACCGCTTCTAGGAAAATGTCTCATTTACAGCATCTGATATGTTAAAAAGCAACAAGGTCCAAAGAACATCAGATTAAATTGTTTTCTTCTGTCCTCTTGCTAGAAGGGGGGAGGGGGGGTGTGAGGAGAAACATGGAAAGAACTCACTCCTGCCACAATGTACATTTTAAACACCTTACAATTTTCTATGTCAATTATCTCTCAATAAAACTAAAATAATTTTTTTTAAAAAAAACCGCTCGCTCCTAAACCACAGATTAAATCCAGGAACTTTAAAACAAACCCAACTTAATTTCCCTCCTGCCTGGAGGTTTGGGGAGAGCTGTAAGGGTGTAAACTTCTAAATAGCCTCCCAATTATTTTCAGCAAATGAGAGTTCTGCTTGCTGATTCAACAGCCTTAATCAAGCTTTCGGTGATTCATTGCTGTGGCTTGCAAGAAAACAACATGCCAGGTGAAAATTAAGCAGAAAGGAAAAAATCACACCCTTACTCATCCAAACTGAGAGAGGTGGAAAAGAAGAGGTGTGGAGTTTCACTTATGACTGGTTCCAAGAAGCCGCCTCTTGCTTTAATCAAGATCAGTAACCTGAGTGCTTGGTTATTATCAGGGGAGGTCCAGAGAGCAGAGTGCCGATCTCTGATGCTGGCCCTCCCTAGCTTCCTTCCGTCTCAGAAACACGGATCGGTTTCCTGGTGTTCGATGACACAACTTGTCCAATTGTCTATTTCCTTGCTGTTTTAGAATCAAGTGCAAGCTCATAGTTAAGGAAGCCTGGAAAAAAATAACTTTATATCTCACTATATAAATATACATTTTTATACCTAATAAATATATTTATTTTTCACTAAATACTACAGAAATCGATTTTGGAATAAATATAACTAACATAGCCCTAGCCGGTTTGGCTCAGTGGATAGAGCGTTGGCCTGCGAACTGAAAGGTCCCAGGTTCGATTCCGATCAAGGGCACATGCCCAGGTGCCCGGGTTGCGGGCTCCATCCCCAGTGTGGGGTGTGCAGGGGGCAGCCGATCAATGATTCTCTCTCATCATGGATGTTTCTATCGCTCTCTTCCTTTTCCTTCCTCTCTGAAATCAATAAAAATATATTTTTTAAAAAAAAATATATATATATATCATATCCATAGATCTAGATATATAGTATAGGTAAGCTATAAAATATAATTCTGATATTAATTTTAAAAAATCAGATGAATGTATCATACGCACACACATGTGCATACATACCTCTAAAGAGTACATTATAGGAACAATCTTGGCGCTGTTGGCATTTGGCCTGAATCAATCTGTGCTGTGGGGAGCTGTCCTGTGCATCTGAGGATGGTTAGCAGCATCCCTGGTTTCTACCCCCTCTATGCTGATAGCACCCTCCCCACATGGGTGGTAACAACCAAAAATGTCTCCAGACATCACTAAATATCCTCAGGGAGGCAAAATTGCCCCAAGCTGAGAACCACTATTCTATATAAAACATAATTCTAATCCCATTCCTAAAGATCTGCCCAGCCCTTACCAACATTCAGACTGCACACTTTATGACATAGAACACACCTGCTGATACAACCACGCCAGACTCTTCTTTGTAAACTACAGAATCTGTCTTTGTTAGAAATGAAAAACATAGGCAGCTACCATATCACCATCTTAACTAAATTACAGCTTTGGAAAATTGATTTAAATGTAAACCACTAATTACTTTTTAAATTTCTCACCTCACTTGAAGGAAGGTCAATCTCCCAAATAGTTTCTTAAAATTTTATTGCTTGCTATGAACCTAAAACTCCTCTAAAAAGAAAAAATCCCTGTAAAAGAAAATGTATCCCTGAACGGGAATGAAGCGGCACATTTCTCTATCTTTGCTGAGGAAGATATGAATAGCACAAATGCCCACATCTGTGATGAGGGCCGCTGACATCCACAAGGCAGACAGCAGCTGTCAGCTCTGCAGATGACAAGCAAGATTCACAAAACTGCCCACAGACTCCAAAGCAAACATGCCTCTCCCGGCATCACTTCATGGGAAGCTGGGGGTTGTCAGAAACAGACAAAAGCCATGACAAATGACTTAGGAAATCTAGTGTGACCTTCGCCTTCAGTAGAGACACTCCCCAGAAACCTATAAAAGTTTCACTGAGCCCTAGCCGGTTTGGCCCAGTGGGTAGAGCGTCGTCGGCCTGGGGACTGAAGAGTCCCAGGTTTGATTCCGGTCAAGGGCATGTGCCTTGGTTGCAGGCACATCCCCAGTAGGGGGTGTGTAGGAGGCAGCTGATCAATGTTTCTCTCTCATGGATGTTTCTAACTCTCTATTCCCTCTCCCTTCCTCTCTGTAGAAAATCAATAAAATATAATTTAAAAATTTTTTCATTGAAACTAGTCTTTGAATCTTCTTCCCAAACAGTGTTCACCTATAAGTGTTCACTTGCTGCCATCACATTACCAATCAGGACTGTGTTTTCGCTTTGATGGATTACAGGAAAATTTCTATTTCTTACTCCAGTTGCTGGCACAAACGGGTAATTCTTCCCCGCTTGTATCACATGACTTTGGAGAAGCAAATACACATTCCAAAAGATCTCCACACAGATGTTATCCATATCTCCTTCTATCTACAAGACCCACTACCAGCACCTCCACATGAACCCAAGTTCCATCTTTGGGTCCAAATCCTGGTTCCACCACTTCCCAGCTGTGTGAACTTGGGAAAATTACTTAACTTCTAAGACTCTGTATATCTCCTATGTAAAATGCAGGGGAGAATGGTACCAACCTCATTAAGACTGTTGGAGAGATGAAATAAATTAATCCACATAAAAAATTTAACACAGACCCAGGCCATGGTAAGTGATCAATAAAATTAAACCAGTTAAAAGAAAGTGCAGGGGACATGAAGGCTGAACAACAACAACAAAAAAACCCTGGTTAAGCCCCAAGGCTGAGTTTCTTTTTTAAAAAATATATTTGTATTGATTTCAGAGAGGAAGGAAGAGGGAGACAGAGACAGAAATATCAATGATGAAAGGGAATCACTGATCGGCTGCCTCCTGCAAGCCCCACACTGGGGATCGAGCCTGCAACCTGGGCATGTGCCCTGACTGGGAATTGAACCATGACCTCCTGGTTCATAGGTCGATGCTCAACTACTGAGCCACGCCTGCCGGATCTGAGTTCCATTTATTCAATCTGTTACCAAAGTCCCTCAGGATATCAAATCCTAGTGATACATCATATTTCCTCCTTGGACAAATAAACCATTGACTTGACTTAGAGAACACTACTAGAATAAATATTTTTTCTTTAAAAGGTAATTTTGTCCTCATATAAATAAATA